TAAGTTAGGAAAAACGAACAATTTTTACATATTAAACGTGCTGACGCGTTTGTTTTTTATAGGCGTGGATTTTCAGAAAGTTAAAACATTTGATGTATTACAAGATGATGAATTAAGACAAGGACTTAAGGAATATTCGTATGTTATTTATCGTGAATTCAAAGGATTAGATGATTAGAAAGTGTGTCACATTTCATTTCGATCAAATATTATTTATAGGGATTGGCCAACATTTCCACAAGTTTACATCAAGGGTACGTTCATTGGCGGATGTGATGTTGTGATCAATATGCACCAATCGGGAGAATTGGAAGAATTGTTGGAGAAAGAAGGATTGATAAACGATTAGAAAATAAGGTGTGTTTTATTTTGTCTGATCCATGTATAATCGAAATGCATACTGTATTTTAAGGCAGTCTGCAAATTAACGATGGCGCGATTTACACTATTGTATTAAATATTTCTTTAAAATCACTATTTATAATTATTTTCTAATAGAACTTTGACTGAAAAAACTCGAATTTGATCTAAATAAAAAATAAACAGATTTTAAAAAGATTTATGTATCTAGAGAAATAATTAAAGAAATAAATTTTTAATTATTTTAAATTGGATAAAGAATATTTAACTCATTAATTTTAAATATATAAATATTGTTACATTTTTTTTAATTTTATATAATGATTTTAGCCATTAGTAACTTGATCTTTAACATTATATATAAAATAAAAAAAATAACAATCACAGGTTGACTGATTATCCTATATACAGTATATTGTATTCAATCAATCGGATTTTTTTAAAATTTAATTAGACTGCATAATAATAGAACCTCTTGCCTTTTACTAATCAAAGATTGAAAAGTTAGTTATAAAAGAAAGAATTGTATAAAAAAAAACTTCTGGTTTAACTTTGACTAATATTTTATCAATTAAAACTAATCTAGTAGACTTTAAAAACAAACCAATTTTCTAATCTTAGACTATTTCAATTTGATACTTGCTTAAATAATAATAACATATTAATTATAATCTGAAGTTATAGATAATAAAACAAATATATCATTTTTTAATAAAAATCTTTTTATAATAGTGAATTAAAATTAAATTCAAATTAGATTTAAATAATTTAAAACTAATAATAAAATATTTTTTTTGACAAGTATTAAATGTATAGACTTTATTATTATTTTTTTTTAATGTTAAGATGAGACAATGCTCTAGTTTTATTAACATAGATAGTTTATTACATATGTGATATGTTTAAATTTATACTATATTAATCCTATATTAACTAGAACCTATCCACAAACCTAAACTATCTGGGTATAGTCTGCCACTCTGCTTGCTTACTCAAGCATTACCTTTCTTATTTCTTTATTTTTGACACTAATTTCATTTCTATTTGTAATTACCATCTTCTTTTAGTTACCCAAGAATGGCCAAGATCTTTCTGCTTTTCTGACTGCCTTTCTGGGATAAGTAACTAGCAAGCTGATGTATTACTGGATTGGGGTAGGGATTTTCATAGGAGGCCACTTTTCATATTCATAGAAAAACAATCATCAATTTTTTTTGTCTTTTTTCACATTGGAACTGATAACCTTGTATTTCTTTTTACTGCTTCCGGCGATCGTCATATCACCAACCGGATGATTGTTGTGCTATAATACCTTTTTCTTGATAGTCACAATCTTATTGCCTGCAGGATCTACATGTGAATCAGCTTGTAATGAGAAACAGGTTATGGTGCTGGATATCATATTTATTTTATTCAACTGCCTTCATCTAGAGTTGAATTAGTATCTTGTTATCTAGACCTACAGGTCTTGTATAGATTTTATTAAACAGAATATTTATGATTTTTATAAAGTAAATTATAAAGTAAATTAATTAAAATTGTCAAAATTTAAAAGTTAATATATAAACTCCAAGTAGGAAAACTAATAATAGAATTTTTATTTTTTAAATATTTTAATTAATATAAAAAATTATATACTTAATACAACTTAATATATTAAATATATTTATAAATATTAAATGAGTTAATTTAAATAAATCTTAATATACTAATAATTAAATTTAAATTATTTGAAAAAAATTATATATTTTAATTTAATAATAAATTATTATATTATTTTATATTTTGTTAATTATTATATTTTTATTATTATTATTTTTTTTTTTTACTGCGAATAAGCATAAAATGCAAGACTTTATTTACTAAATAATAGTACTGTCATTACATTAAGAAT